AACTATATCTTATAATGATCTAACAAATAGCATAACGAATTAATTATTATTAGGTAACATCTAAAAATATATGTTATTATTTAATAATTTTTATATTTATTTTTTGAGTATTTTACAATCACAATGTAAGGTAACAATATATTTTAAGTTAATTACATATAAAATATATATTTTCTTAATTTACTATATAAATTCATTATAAATATAATTCATAAAATTTCTTATAACACGAGTCAAATTAATTTTTTTATTGAGATGACATTACAAGAAAGTATTAGATTAAAAAATTATTAATCGGACACACGCACATTTGCGATTATTTTAATTGTAGTCCATGCATTAATCAAATTAATAAAAATGATTTTTTTTTTTAATATATTGACCTTACCTATGATATTATCTAATTTACCTTTACTAAATCTATCAATTTTTTATTGACAGGTTAATCGAATAAAAAATTTAATATATACAAAGTTGACACTTTAAGAAAATTTTGTTAACTTTGATATATATATATATATCTTGTTATTCAACGGCCAATTATCTTAGCAATACTATTATTACTAAGAATATATTATCGCTATTAAATAAAGAATTTATTTAAAATATTATTTTTGTATTTTTATTTAAATAATTAATTTGAAACATGTTAAAAATATAAATTTTTATTTAACTCAATTTAATTACTATATACAAACTTAATATAATTGACAATATAAGATAATACTGTATCGTGAAATTAATTTAACATTATTCAGTAGATATATTGTTAAATACTTTTCAAAATAAAATTAAATTACATAACAAATATGAATTATTTTATACACTTGTATGAAAAATTAATACTAACAAATTTGCACGAGGAACTAATGTAATAACTAGAAAAAGAGAAAAAAAAAAAAGAGGGAGAGGGAAGGAAAAAACGACATCGTTTTGCAGATGGGAGAAAACGGCGTCGTTTTGGAAAAGAAAAAACGACGACGTTTTGCAAGGGGGAAAACGATGCCGTTTTGAGGAAAAACTAGGATGATTTAAGTGGGGGGGGGGGGGGAGGAAGAGATGAAAGGAGAAAAGAAAAGAAAATAAAAAAAGAGGGAAGAAAGAGAGCAGAGGAAGAAGGGGAGCGGGAGAGAGAGAGAAGAGGAAGGAAGGTTCCAGAAGGAGGGAGAAAGGAAGTAGAGCGGAGAGAATAGGAGATCGCGGACGGTGATAGTAGATTCGGCCGAAAGAGGGAAAAATGAAAATGGGAGGTACGGTACCAAACTCTAAATGTGTGTGTTGATTTGATTGTGAAATGGTTGGATGTGTGGCGTGCGTGGCCACGACTTACGGAGGTAGGGGTATACAGAAGAGGCTGGGTGAGAATATGTGGTGAGGCGGGTGGAAGAAAGTGGACCGAGTGAGGATCGCGGGATGAGAGAGGGAGAAGGTGACAATACGGACGAAAGTCGGGAGAGAGATAAGAGTGCGAGGTGAGTGGAGGTCGGGAGAGAGAAAAGAGGTGCGCGAACGAATGAAGTGACTGTGTGAGAATCGCGGGAGGAGAGAGAGATAAGGTGATGGTACGGGCGAAAAAACGGTGTGGGAGAGAGCGGACTGTGAGAGCAACGCGGAAGGAGATAGGGAGATATTGTGGTGTGAGGACGTAGTCTGAGAGAGAGATATGTAGAGGCAGTGGGGAAACGTTGGGGAAGGGTAGAACCCGCGGGGTGAGTGAGGTGAGAGGAATGGTGTGGCGTGATGGTGTGGCGGGAGGTTGCAGCCCGAGAGAGAGTTAGGGAGAGACAGGGAGTGAATGTTGGAGAAGGGAATGATATGCTGGGTGAGTGAGATGCTTGGGGACCTGGAGTGGGGGTAGCTGGAACCTTGGGGAAGAATGACCAGGTGAGCGGCGTGCAATTATGACTTATCGCAGATAGCTGACGGGAGAGAGAGACAGTGGACGAGAGGAGTGTAGTGTGTGTGTGGTCGA